TTGGTCCGTGTGCCTGCTGGTCTCATTCGAGTCTGCTCGCCCCTTGGGTGGCTCGCCCAGCTCATCGCACGCACAGACGGCAGGGACGCCCAGCTGTTCGTTCAAATTAGACCTGCCTCCTTGCTCGCCCAAACTGGCGCCCGAAGCACCCAAGCTGCCTCGACTGCTCGCACCCCAAGACCGCTCACCCAAGGCCACCCTCGCCTCGCCAAAAATGGACGCCCAGACTTTTCCTTGCCTCGCCCAGCAGCGAGTGCTGCAAGCTCCTTGCATAAACAATAGAGGCACCCCGCAGCTTTACCTCCCTAGAGCCAGGCGCCTCCAACCCATCTTCACGAACACCTCCATCTTATTCGACTTGCCCACCAAGGTTTGAACACCTCTGAACATCCTCTCCACTAGCCACCATTGATTAAAATACACAAACCCAAAGAACCACAAACCTTGGGTCTCCAAGAACTCTCAAGAAGAGCACCGTCCTTCACTAAAGCTTCTATGGGAAGGATGAGATCTAGGTTCTTAAGGATTCCAAGAAAAAGCTCTCATCCTCCCTCAAGATTGTTTGAAGTGGGCAGAATAAAAGGGGGAGGCTCCTATTTATAGCTTAGGGTTTACAAAGAGGGAAAAACCCAAATTAAAAACCAAGGACTCTCTTAAAAATTAAAGTAAAAATGGAAAAGATTTGAGGTGTTCAGCAAGGCAAACTACATCAAGAATGGAGATGGAGTTTTAGTGTCTGATTCAGAAAATCGTTTTAAGATCTAGGGGTGCTGTCCCGAGCCCCCGCCACCTGACCAGGCAGGTGGAACCCCGCGACCTGTCTGGGCAAGTCGATCCCCGCAACCTGTCATAGCGCAACATGAACGTAGCGGGTGAGGAGTATTTTTGGGTCATAATTCAAATTCAGTTGAATGCCCACTTCTCTAAGTTTCATTGGACATGGAACATTAGAGGGCAAATGATAGGTCAAGCCCAAATGGCCCAATATATGGGAAAAAGCCCAAACTTATAGAAGACCAAGCAAGCCTTATGAGGTCCAAGATGGTCAAGCCCATCAGGGAGTTACAGGAGCATCCAGGAGCTATACCCTTGTCCGTTGAGTAAGAGGAGAGGTCGCCAGGGGAGATGAGAGGTCATCAGCTATTAAGTTACCTCTAGTCCGTTATAACCGTCAAGCTACTCAATTACTACGTAGACTTCTATAAATTGTAAGCTCCCCTAACACTTGGGGGCATCTCAACAAAATCAATCTCATCTCTCTCTCTCTCTCTCTCTCTCTCTCTCTCTCTTTTCTTGTAATTCTTGCTCTCCCAATGCACTGGAGTCAATAAAAATTCCAGTGAACTTAGTCATTGAAAGGGACATAGGTCTCATTGACCGAACCACTATAAACCTTATTTTCTCTCTCCCTCTACTTACTGCATTTTATATTGCTTAATTGACGGATGGTGTGCAAATTGATTTTGTGCATCATCAAAATCTACTGGTGGTTTGAACGAATCGAAATCGATTATCAATTTCTGTTTGTGGGCACTTGGTCGAACAATTGGTGAGCGTGATCGAGAGGGGATGGTTAGAGATAGAGGAGAAGGAAGAGGAGAAAGGGAGGGAGAGAGTGGTTGATGGTGGGCTGGGCGTCGATGGTTGTGTGTGTGTGCGTGTGTTGTGTGTGAGTGGCTGTGTGCGTGTGTTCTGTGTGTGTTGTGCACTGGTGTGTGTATTTGTGCAGAAAGTTGAAGACAGAAAGACGGAGGGAGGGAGGAAGAGAGGGGACCTGGACTGTACTACCGGTGATGGATCTCTCAGTGGTTGGTCATTCGTCGATGGTGGGTTGGTCGGATGTGTCTAGAGACAGGAGTCCGATTGAGATACTGATTGGCGGTGGATTTAAAAATGCAGGTGATATGAAAAAGATATCAATGTTTAAATATTTCAACCTTTTTATTAATTTTTTATTTCTATACTAACGGTTTTACCCTTCATCCTCGTTCCTTCTCCATTTGTTAAACACAACCCTTTACACTTGGAAGGTTCTTAATTTAGTTTTCTATTTGAAATGGAAACTCAAACATGTATATCTTTTGGTCTTTGTAATCTCTAAAACTCCTTGAAGCCTTGGATATTGAGTAACACAGTCAAATTTCCTGGTTTGCACACAAAGAACGTGAGGCAGCAGTAGGGTTTTTTGATCCGCTATACCTAGAAAAACTTAACGCCAAAGTTCATAGATGATGAGTTATGCTAGTGTGATTATCTCTTCATGGTGGAACTCTAACCCTCTTGATTGGGTTTTGTTTTACGTTAATCACCAACAACAACAAAACAATCAGAATTTTGAAAGAATTCATTATTGCGTTGATAGAAGCGTTATGACGTGTAAATATCGAAAAAAGTTCAAACACAAGGAATCTTGATGATGATGATGGGAATGAAAAAGAAAAAATTACAAATATGGATATTGAAGAGTTGATGAGTTGTGTTCTCAATCATGAGGACGGTAAGATTGAAGAGTTTATAGAGCGTAATCAAGAAAGAGGTAATGATATTTATTTGATTCGACGAAAAGATGCAATAAAAATGACAATGTTAACATCCCTACATTCGAAAGCATCCTAAAAGAGATCATATTTCTGCCCAAGAGTTGTCACTAAAGGCTCAAGCAGAACGAATGGCTAGAGAGATATTTCATGGAAGACAGCTAAAAAAATTCTTAGTAGAATCAAGAACCGTAATAATGACATGTGGAAGTTGGACTTGCATGGGCTCCATGCAATAGAGGAGGTTCAAGCCCTTGAGGAGTACTTGCAAATGATTGAATCTCAAGTATCAGTATCACTTAGGCAGCGACAAAGATCTTTACTAGTGATAACCGAAAGAGGTAGTCAGCTATCAAAAAATTTCCTGGTAAAAATAGATATAATTATGATGACTCAAAGTACAGTCCAAGTTTAATTTGATCGCTGCCGGTGAAAGCTTCACAATAGTTGACCATTTACGAGGGTGGAATTGTTTTCCTCCCTTGCCTTTGTATGTAATGTAGGAGATGCCAGTTTATGCATCAATACAAAACTGTGAATATAGTTAATACATAGCACTACTTGGGCCTAATTGTTGATTTAATTCATTGTTAGTATTCGATTACTAATGTAATTCAATTTAATAAAATCCAGTCACCCCTTTTTTGGGTTTAGAATTTAATCATCGTTTCCGCCAATTCCTTCATATCATAAATTTCATTCCGTTTGCTATTTTTTGTGTGGAAATAACCATTCAATGCATCTCACTGAATCTTGCCAAAGCACATTGAAGATGTGATCAACTGCAAAGCATCTCATTCAGAAATAACACGGTGCAGAACATCACCAGCACCGTGGGGTGCTTCATATATTTCCATTTGGCATATATAAATCAAAACCAATTAGCCATAAGAATGACTATTTACTGCATATTATGCTGATTAATACCCAGATAATGATTTCTTAATTGCCCAATAAAGGGTACTGCTACTTGGCAGCTAACATGAGAGTTCACTTCGCATGGCTCGGAAATAGCTAAAGGACTTACAAAAGATAAGCAAGAAAAGCTCAGGCTACTATTACAGTCCTTACACTAGTTTGTTATTGTTTTTAGTTCAGTGATAAACGGAACTTTATTTTTTTCTTTTCTTTTTTTCCCTTCCTTTTTTTGGGGGGTTTTTCTCCGGGGGGGAAAAGGGTTAGGAAGGGCCGTCTTCTATTCTCTGTCCGTTTGCCTTTCGAACTCGTCCTCCCATTATTTGGAGGATTGCCTGCCTCATAGAGGGCATCCTTGCACCAAATATCAATGTAGCTATTGGGAAGTGCCATTGGTGCTTCAGCAACCCTTCTTCAGAGACAAGTGGATAATAGAGTCAGCTAATTTCAGAAAATGCTCCAGGAAGAAAATTCAAGCAGTGCTTCTATTCTCACTTGATCCTGCAGCCAATCACAAAAGGCTTATATACTAATGTGTTGGTGTTGCTTTTGTCGATGAATGACATTTCTAGAAGCCATCTCAATGATTATTTTCAGCCAACTGTTTTTGTGTGAAAGAAGCTTCTGTTGTGAGGGCCATTTCATGCTAGACTCATGATATGAGAAATGGCACAAATTTTTGGTGTCATCTGACTTACTTGAATTGAATGAGTTGGTTGTTCTAGTGAGGAGTTTTTCACTTTAACACTTCGTGTCTTTGAAAAAAATAAATTCTAATTTGGAAGGATAGAGGTAGGTTGAAATTCAAATATTGAGCCAACCAACCGCTTTAGACTATATACTCTTACAAAATACGGACTCAGTTGTTTGGTATAGAGTAAATTTCCGTCTGGGAGTTCATCAAGAAAGATATGGCCTGAATTCTTGTGTGCAATAGTGAGCACAGTTTGGACCGCCTTCAGTTGGGTGATCCCATTGTAGTTGGGTGGTATTCCGGTCATGTTGGATTTGAGGTGCTCCTGTAAGATCTTTTTTTTGAAAGGCTACAGCTATTCAAGTAGATATTTCTTCTTTTTTGTGCATTTTCACAATTTTCCCTTGTTTCTTTTTTTTTTGTTGCAGCTATTAACCCGTCAGGTTGGTGTAGTTCAGAAGTTCTTATGCATCTCATATGATTAGTTTCAGACTTATCAATCAATTTTCATTGAACTGATGAGCAATTCATTTAATGGAATTGATTTGGTCAACCATTCATACATGCAAATGTAGAGCTCTTTTATGAAGCCCTTCATATTTTTCAGAGCAATGGACACATTTCAAGTAAGGCAACAAATGAAACTGTGCAACTCTTAATGAACGAACAAGATCTATAACATCCCCCACCAAGATGGATGATCAGAAAAGCAGGCCATTAAACAAGGAACTATTCACATATAATGCTAATGTAGGATACACTCAAATTACAATTCAACAAAATCTTAGTATGATTTAGCAGGCTTGACGGTTTACAGGATGTAGATTTCAGAGCTGGTAAAGCATGAACTGTCGTCAGGAATGCAACCACAAACAATCTCGCAGCCTCTCCTCTCCAGCACCAAGCATCTCATCAACTCTTTCACCATCTCGGTAGAAATGAAAAGTTGGTGTGTACCGAATATGCTGAGTGCTTTCTGGCCATTCGTCGATATCTGCATATATGAAAGATAATTGTGGAAACTTGTTGCTCAATTGACAAAATGAAGGCAGGATCTGGCTGCAAACGCGACACCTGAAAAATGATGAATGAATCAGCTTGAACATAAATATCTTGTACAGTGTATGAACACCAAAACCAATGATGCCTCCTATTTCATTCAGATGATCTTGAGTGTGCTGTGTTCTAGTCGGTGCAAAATCAAAGCCAGTAGAATAATGTTCTAAACAATTGATGCATATTTTTATTAATAACAAAAAATGATGCACTCATGGGCAAAAATATATTCATGCACCAAACTGAAAACAGCCATTTTGGAAGCAGATTACTTGCAAAAACAGATTACCAATAGATGCTTTCTACAAATTGAAATATTTGAAGTACAATTGATAAATTATGTCCACCACTTTTCTGGTGCATCTAATGCTGCTATCGAGGCTTTGTGATCAGACTTTAATGCATTTCATAGTGTGCAGGAAATCAATTCACAGTAAGAAGTCGCTCTCCGAAGTAAACCCAATAAAGCCAAATTTCATTTAAGTCAGACATCGAATACCTTGTGTTCACATATTTTGCACCCCTCCCCCAACATACAGACACATTTCTTGTCGCCCCTTTCAAATCCTAATATCAAATTGTTTGCTTGACTAAAAGATAATAATTGATAATGAATAACAGGTATAATATATGATATTTAGATCACTAAACAAGAAACCCAATTGACCAAAAAGGGAAATATGGGCATCAGCAGTGTAAGCTTGTCAACAAAGAACTTACCTGAAGTTCAGAGATCAAGTGTAAGACATCATATGCCCAAACTTTGCATCAAAACACCAAACACATAGAGATAAAACAAAATATATAAGCATTGCCAAGCAAATAAAGTTTCAAAAAAGAACAAAATTTTTAAAACGAAAAGTTCAAATAAACCAATAAACATACCAAGAAGCGCCATAATTAATTACGGCCTGCAAAACAAAAAATGTTTTAAAGAACAAAAATCAGCTCTCCAACCATAAACAGAGATGAGTTTTCTATGTGATTGTAGATTTTGCTTACAGGGTTTTTGGTTGTTCTGATTTGGTGAAAGACGTTTCTGAGGTCATCATCACTGGAGGGAGTGATGAGGTTGCCGTTGCTATTGTTGTGTAAACATAAACCTCTGCCCTCCACCTCATTCTTTGCCACCGCCGCCACTAACCTCACTCTCCATTACGAGTTACTACTCTTGCAGTGTCTGCTAAATATATGGTCTGTACACCATTTATAATAGCATCACCAATTGACTCATATTTAAATTCAAATTTAAGTAGAAATTTTGATTTGGCATAAAATATTCCATCGAGTAAACCCAAATATTTACTTATATTTTTTTAAAAATTTCCTTATTATCTGAAAACATTTTTTTTTAATCATTCAAGTTATGTATTTGATAAAATAAATGAAACTTTCTTATCTCTTCATAAATGGGTAATTAAAAAAATGAATATATATAGGAAAAAGGCATCACCCCATAATTTTAAAACTGTTCTAATCCCTATCATTTTTTATAAATCCAGATAAAGAAAAAAAAAACTACTTTAAGATTGACTTGGTTTTAAGAATACAAAAATATAATTTTTAACAAAAATGGAATATTTAAGAAATAAAATAATTTTTTTTTTAAATTTGTGGGTAGCAAAGACTTAAAATTTCAAAAAAAATTGGTGGCATGAAATTATACTACCAATAGTGTTTAAGTCTGAAAAATCAAAAAAAAATTAATAGGTAGGCTTAGAGTTTATATAGTACAAAAGATGGATGTAGTTAAGGTTTTTAAAAATACAAGAAGATAGAAGATGAAAAGGAAAAAACTTACCTACAAGTCTTAAAATGATTTTTGAAAGCTTCGGTAGTGGTCAGCGATGGAAGTAGCATAGTAGAGAGAGGCAAGAAGTGGTAGAGAACAAATCGTCCAAGAAGTTTTTTAGTTCTGGAGGTTAAAAAATTACCGTCCAACCCTTACATAAATTTAGATTCAAATTTAAATTTGAGTAAAAAAGTCTAAAAAACTTGCTTCAATCATTGACTCAAACTTATACCAAATCAAGAGAAAACTCATTTTTTTACTCAAATCAAGGGAGACTCAAATATTTAATAATGAGATTTCATCATCTTTTAAAGATCCAATAGTCATCCTTATTCCTTTTTAAATTTAAGTTTACCCTCATTTAAATTTGGGTCTCTCCTTTAAATTTGAGTTTGTCTATCAGAATCCTTTATATCAAATCAAATTTTTTTACTCAAATGTTAATTTAAATTTGAGTAAAATTTTGAGTCATGGTTAGAGATGCTCATAAAAATTTATTATAGAATTTGAGTCTTCTTCAATATGAGTCCATAATAAGTTTTGCTTTAATTTAATATAAATTTGAGTCCAATGTTAGAGAAGGTTTTTAGTCATTTTGACTCAAATTTAAATTAGAGTCTACATTAGAGTCAGAGTTGGAGATGTTGTAAGAGTATTTTAAAAGGTGTTCTCTAAAATAACTAGTTAAAATATATTAAAATATTATGTTCTTTTATTTTAAGGGTTAATTATAATAGAAGTTCTTAAATTAGAGAGTTTGTTTTATTTTGGTCTCTAATATTTCAATTGTATTATTTTGGTAACTGAAGTATTAAATATGCTTTTATATAGTCCTTCAAATAGATAGAGTCTAAATTACAAATGATTTTTTTATCATATACTTGTCATGTAATACCTAAATATGAATAAAAAATAATTTGAATAGCTCTTAATTAAAATTTGGGTAGCTCTTAACAAAAAAAGTGTAATATTAGTAGTTTTTGATCAAAACTTGGATAACTCATAATCAAAATTGTGTAATTTAAATAGTATTTTGACCAAAATTTGAATATAAATTTTATTAAGAGTTATCCAATTATTTTTTTGTCCATATTTAAGTATTACGTAATAAGTTTATGCTAAAAAATTCATAGCAATTTGCACGTTGTTTGCGTGAAGGGCCATATATAAACATATTCAATTCTTCAAGGACCAACATAATACAATTTGTTATAGGCCACACTTGATTCTATGCACATAAGTAGAGGTCCCTTGACATTGAAAAATTAATCTATTGTGGGACCCAAATTTAATTAAATAATTTTCTAAAATTAAATTAGGTTGGACTTAAATTTCATAAGACCAAATAATATAAGTTCAAACTGAATTAAATAAGCATTTAAAATTAAGCTGGATTTGATATAAATTCCATAAGTTCAAATAATACAAAGGATTTATTCCTCGTCGCACTCTAGTCCTTAAAGTTTCAATTCCGTCAATTTCATCCCCTAAATTAAAACATTGAGTCAATGTGGTCTTAGCACTAACTTTCGTTAAAAAAAGAGACGGGAAGTAGCAATTTGCAAGTCACGTGTAATTCTTTAAGGACATTTATGATATTTTACAAACAAAACGGAGGGCAAAATTGAAAAATAAAAAATTGTCTGCCTTCTCTCTCTCTCTTTCTCTTCCCTCAAAAATCAGAAGCCTCGTCCCGACACTATATCCCCACCTTCCTCCATCCTCTGCAACTCCCCAAGCCAATCGACGGTTGCCACCACCTCCATTACACCCTCCACCATCCAAAATATGTTCTCCACAATCTCTACTGCAAAGCCAACTCGATCATCTAGTAGTAAAATAGTCACTCATCTCCTGTGTTACCTATAATCCCACCACCACACACCCAAACCCTGTCATTTCTACCTCCACCACAAAAAAGCAAAGACGAAATCTCAACGATCCACACCAATATCAGAGAACAAAGCAAAGATTACAGAGAGAGAGAGAGAGAATTAGAAAGAGAGAAAAGGAATCACATGTTGAGATTTGATTGAATAATTAATTTATTTTGAATAGTTATGATTATTAGGAAATGCTAATATTTGAATAATTATGATCATTGGGCAAAAAAACTATTGAAGAGATGTGACCATTGGAAAAATGCATCTTTTTAGAAGAGTCATGTCTTTTAAGAATAGACACCTCTTTAAAAATGTCATGACTATTAACCAACAGACACCTCTTTAAAAAGGTCATATTTTTTAATGAAAAGGGACATATTTGGAAGGTTGTAACTTTTGGGAAAAAACACTAAGAAGTCTATAAATAGGCCTAGACTTCATTCACAACTAGACTTGAGTCTTGTATAACTCATCTCTTTTTCCCCTCGCTCTCTCTCACAAATAAAAACTATTCAAGAATATTTCTTTGGAAGTTTTTCAATATTGCTAATTATAGTTCTTCAACCTAGGGCTTTGTTGTGTCCTGAAAGTGATTTGCCAAGAATCCTCTAGCAAGCTCTTGGAGTGGGGGAAAATATCAATTTTTTTAAAAGCAATCTTATGTGCTTCAAAGTCTTGATTTTGTTCTATTTTATATATACTCGAAGTAATTTTCCCAACATCAATCCAATGCCTAATTCAAACCTAATTCTTCATCTGCCCAAATTTGGGGGTTTGATATTCAGATGATTGGTTAACCATTTTCAGGGTCATGCTGTTATTTATAGCTTTATTGCCCACAGAGATCTCCAAATATCACACTGTATATGTGCGAGTGTGCATGTGGGGGTTTGTGCATTTGTGTTGCTTGTGTACTAGGGTTTGAGAGACGAAAGATGTGTTGGGTTCAAGGGGGAGAAAGAGAGAGGCATATAGACGGAGGGGTTTGTGGGTTTGAGAAAAAGGGTGAGCAAAGGCAAATTGGAGAGAGAGAGAGAGAGAGAGCCACAAACCTGTTTGATAAAATGCCAAAGATCGATTGGAATCAAGGAACCAAACCCATGTGTACCGGAAGTGGAGGTATTGCTCCAAGATGCATGGTTAATTCTTCTTGTTCTCTTTCCATAAGTTAGACGTGTCGTTTTTGATTCTTGGTTGCTAATTATCATCATATGTTGCTATAGTATTCAAACTGTGGAAGATGGTTCAACTAAGCAAAATTTGAAGAATGGTGTCATGACTTTTGAGCTAATGTAGCTGAATCTGAGCACTTGATTTATTGGGCTAATAAACCTTATGTATTAGTGTTATTTGATGCATGCATTAGCATCATGCTTTGATTAGTTTAGCTGTTCAAATTCAATATTGTAAATTATCATAGTCAACCTACCACATTACTCTAATGCCACAATAAGGGAACATTTGACTAAAATCACGTTATATTAACAATAGTAACATCCCAGTTATGAAAGCAGCGTGAATCCCAAAAAGGTTACAAAGCAGACAAAAGTAACTATGAACTAGGTGTGCCAAAGACAAAAGTGACTAATTCAAAAGTCCCAAAAAAAAAAAATGCCTAATTCGATTGAGTTGCAAACAAAGCAGTATCTTGAGTTTATTGAGTGGTTGTACCTTGACTTGCAAATGGAGCACCTTGTTGATGTGGTATTGACTCCTGAGTTGATGTAGTTTTATTCCTTTTAATCTGGTTCCATTAAAAACAAGTATAAGAGAAATAGTCTCATAGGGTCAAAATGAACTGGTAAGAATTAGTAAATGACTTACAATTAGCTTTGGTCTATATTGTGATTTAGTAGCAGTGGCTTGAGATTGGGGAGGACACTGACTTGCTTCTGTAGTTGGAGTAGCAGCAAAATTTAAGTTTCCTTTTACCTATTACATGACCAATATTTGAAGTAATATACACAAAAAAGTCAAGCTAATGTGATAAAATTCTAACATTGTGATGTCTTACCTCGCCTTTTTTATCAGTAAGAGGCATTTTACACTTTCTTAAGTTGTGACCATAATTTTCACATTTGATGGCCTTGTACTTCCTCTTTAATTTTGTACTTGCAAGAGGCTCATCAGGTTCTCTCCTTCTACACTTCTTAGGCCTTCCAGGTCTTCTACTAAATTCTGGTGGAAGGAGAGGGAAGTAAGCTGCTTTAGGCCACATATCCTTTCCATTGATAGGATTCACTAGGTTGTTATAGCACTTGTTGAAGGTTTCTAATTTACACCATTCAGCCGTGTAGTCCTCTGCTACATGACCCAAGTAATTGAGAGCAGAAACTACAAGTGGACATGGGATTCCAATTAAATCCCATTTTCTGCAGCTACAAGTTCTTTTCTTAACATTCACAGTCTGCATGTGGACATGGGATTCCAATTAAATCCCATTTTTTGCAGCTACAAGTTCTTTCCTTAACATTCTGGTCACCATACATCCCGAACACCTCAAACATGTCACCCCCATTCCAAGTTGGTATGAAGGTTGTTGATTCCACCTTAATTGTCTGTAGTCTTTTTGTATGTTGGGACAAATATTACCCTTGTAGCTCTTGATTGAATCCCTTTAACGATGTATCCTCTCCATCAACCAGACTTTAATTTTCTCTAACATAGTTAAGATGAGCTTATCACGAGCATCAACAATGGTTCCATTAAAAATCTCTCTCAAATTATTCAACTAAATGTCACACTTAGGGAATGTACTAAAATGGGATCTAGACCAAGGTACAGATGGTCGGTCTCGTAACCATAAGTATGCAGATTCATCAACCATATGCAATTCATCCATCAAATTTTCAAAGTCTACTACCCTGCTAGCTTTGGCAGCCCTCCACAGTAGATCTTTCAGAGTCAATCCCTTATGATGTGCCTTAAAGTTATTGTATAAATGCCTAACAAAATGCTTGTGTTGAGCATTTAGAAATAGGGTTTCAACATCATCTGGCAAGCCTTGTCATATAAAACAGTAGCACTCTTATTGCAAAAAAAGTAACACTTCATAGAAAAAAAAAGTAATACTATTATAGAAAAAAAAAACCACTTACTTTTTGCTTGTCTGACATAAAAGTCTAACAATGGGTGTTCACTGCACATAGATCCTCTTTCATCAGTTGGATGAACCATGTCCAAGACTTTTTATTCTTCTGCTCCATTACTGCATAAGCAAATGGATACATCTGATTCTTTGGGTCAATGCCTACTGATGCTAGCAATATACCAGATTGAGAGCCCCTAAAATGAAAACCATCCAATCCAATGAGTCTACACCCCTCTAATAAACCCCTCTTTAATCCCCTAATGCATACATACAAACTTATCACCTCCTAAAGCCTTGGTTTTAAAGATGCATTTTGTGGTAGGGTTTGTCCTCCTCAACTCTTCACAATATTCCCACAGAAGAGCAAACTGCTCTGTATCAGTGCCATTGACCAAATTCATTGCCTTCTGTTTACCTCTATATACTTGGCTCTTGTTCATATTCGTCACATGTTCTTTTGAACAGTTTCTTGTATAAAATTCATTGGCCATGTTGGGTTTATTCTCATCGTTTCCACATAAGTGCTTGCTAGCCATTTTGCATTGGCATGGATGACTTTGAATGACCTGTTACAACTGTGTGCATTGTTGTATGTCTTCACCTGCATGGTCAATTTCCATGCCATCCTTGAAGCATAAACCATCCAGTCACAACCTGGCCTACACACTGCCTTGACTCTAAACCTTGCATTTTTATTGAATTTGATATACTTCCCCCACTAGAGAGCATGTTGCCTAATTACAGCTCTAAACTCATTTGTGGTTTTGAACAACATCCCTTATTGAAACTGTGGGTCAACCATATTAATCTTAGCATTAAACTATGGATAATTAATCTTAGGATTGTCTTCATCTGATGATCCACTTAGACTTATGCCACAGTCAATTTTTTTCCCTTTGAACTTGTCAGCTCCTGCCCTAGTGTCTACAACCACCTTTTTACCTTTGTCCTATTTACCTTTATAACCATTACTTTTGTCACTACCAACCTCTGTTTCATTACAATGCTCATTGTCAACCTCTATGCTATTACATACTACATTTTCATACAATAAATCATCATCCATTTCATACTGTCATAAAAAGATTCACATTCAGAAGATTTTCCTTTGGCACTGTCATAATCACCATCCGTTTCAGATTCTTCAGCATTGTCATTTACAACCCTAGTTGCATCTGCATCTTCACATTATGAGTCCACAGGATTTACGCTGAACCCATCTTCACCTCTATGCTCCACATATACATAATCAATGATTTCTTATTCACCCAATTTGACAACTACATTGTGCCATTGTCATTTTCCATTACCATCCAGCTTTGTGATAAAGTTTGATATTGTCAAAATATCCCAATTCCAATCTTTTTAAAATACAATCCAACTCTGAAAGACAAATATGATCACTGTGACACATATCAAAGTGATTGATCTTACCACCAACATAGAATTTGCCACCCCATTTGTTAAACTTACCCCATGATGTGGCCTGATTGTAAAATACCCAGATTCAGCTTCTGCATATACCATAAAAAATAAATGATTAATGATAGGAAAGAAGAAAAAGACAGCTTCTCAGCAATCCACTTACTGTTAGGAAACAAAAGCAAAGCAAGTTGCTTTTGAAAAAAAAACAACACACTTTTTGCTACCCCCACATCAATTAAATAAGCATAAAGTAACCTCTGTTCAAAAAGATACCCCACCACAATAGACAAACAAAACAAACCCACCCATACAGATACCGGATAACATCCCCACCGAAAACCCACCACATTCTACTATAACAACCTACTACAAAAGTAAACCCAACACAAAATAAGAAGAAAAAACTACAAACAATAGAAACATTACCGTAATATGGCACTTCATGCCCTGTACCCAACTCGTACTTTTCTTCCCTCAAAACCTAAGTCATCTCGTAATATTGCATGTGGAATACAGGTCATCGACTGCCTCTCTTCGACTGTCTCTCTCTGTCTAAACCAGAGTTAGTAACGAGTCTGAAAGGATGATGAGTAAATATTGAATGTAGCGGTGAAATCACGTCACCATTGATGACATGGTATCACCTACTAATAATAAAATTTCAAATGAAAAAGGTGAATCCCAATTGAACTTATATGTCATGAGGGTGGGAAGTTATTTGTTTATAAGTTAGGTTAGTTATTAATTTTTGTGAATTTCATGTGCTTATTTGTTTTAGTACTATTAATTGGTGATACTACATCGTCTTGTCACGTAATATCATCGTTATAATGAATATTTTCTCGGGACGAGGACACACATGAGAACGGTTTCAATTGAACTTCGTTTTTACACTTTTTTCCATGGGCAAACCATGTGCATGGCATATGCAATTTCTTTTAACGGGAATAGAGATGGACGTTGGTGTAAAGAGTCACATTACAATGAATTTAGAACAATGAAGATGCATTATGGGAAAAATGATCTTTTAGTGTGCAAAGTAGGAATGTTAACATCTGTCAAGGTACAAAGTGTGAAAAACGTTTTACATTTTTAGAAATTAATTTAATAATTGATAATATATTCCTTCATTATAATGAAAGACAAAAAGAATAGACAACAATACACCAAACAATAATAGGCGACTCACTGGGCAATAATTATATAATTTGATTCAATATCAATAAATATTTATATTTTTCATGACATCATTTATAAATATAGACTTAAAAATTAAATTTGATAATTACAATCATTGATTTCACTCTTGATTCAACATTTATAAGGACTCATTATGTATTCAATAGTTGTGATTATCAAGTCTACTTTTTAAATTTACGTCGCATTACTCTTTATAAAATCCAGGAGACATGTTAGGCTAATTTTTGATGGCCCACCAAATAAAATGTGCATCTGGTGTACCAATGGATCATATTTAAATTGAATTTTGATTGACTCAAAATCCAATTTTTGATCAATTTGATCTAAATTCTATGTGATTATTTGATGAAATTTATTTTATAACTATATTAACATTCACTGTAAAAAATTTGATTCAATCTGAATAATTTAATTAAAAATAAATTTTAATAAATCACATTTTAATTTCAATTTAAACTTATTAAACAATAATTGAACTTACCATGATAAATTCAAGTTTATATTCGCAACATATGATATAATTAGCTTGAATAGGAATAACTAATAAATCAAAATAATCATATTTATTTTATCAACTCAAATTCTAATTGAATTTGAATGGAAATTCAATTCATTTATGATCCTATCACCACATATATAGAGTAGCATATCATATTATGATATACTTATGATCATTAATTGTAAAAATTGTAAAATAAAATAACATAATAAATGAATAAAATTTACACATGCCCAATGTTGATTGAAAATATTAAAAAAATAAAAATTCAGTATCATACCTCTAAATTGTTTATGTCCATCGATATTTTCACATTTATTGAACCAAAATAAAAAAAAAAAAACAAATTTTATAGGAGGAGGAAGAAGAAGAGATATTGCCTAATTTTTTTGATACTTGTACCCTTGAACTTGTTTTTGTTTTTTTAACCCCTAATTTTGTCATTAACATTCACAAATGTCAAGCTGATATGATAATGATATCAATGTCTAAGTATTTCTATTTTTGAATTCTTAACCCCTTTTAAGTAGGAGTGTTAGGTAGTGTTTGATAAATTTGACAGCTGAAGTCTAAAAACTGTAAGCTTAAGTTTGAAAGTTGAAAGCTAAATATTAAATTTGTTGATTATTTGATATCCACTAAAATTTAAGTACTGAATTTAACCAAACTGTTTGATAACTACATAAAATCGATGATTGAAAATAAATTAATTTTCAGTTTTACCCTTATACTCTTTAATTTAAAAATATTTATAAAATATGTTTTTATCTAATAAAAATGACAATATATCATATCAATAATAAATTGAATAACACAATAACTGAAT